GTATTTATTTAGTACAGGTCTACAGGGTCTCACTGCACAGATCAGGTTTATAGTGATCTTCCCCTTTTTAGGCTCTGAAGAGCTAGGATTACAGGTGTGCACCACCAAGCCCAGATTCAATTGCCATCTCAGCAAGCCCCAAGGGGCAGGGCCCGGCATGACACGGGATGGAACCCTAGGTCCTGTGTCTGCCTAAGCAGGCACTTTAATCCACTGATGTATGTGGACAGCCCTTGTCAATTCATTTTCAATAATGATATAAAGACCATTAAATGAGGAAGTCTTTTCAATATATGGTGCTGGAAAAACTGGATATCTATATGCAAAAAGTGAATTAGGACCATTAATTCATATCATATGCAAAAATCAACTCAAAATGGATTAGCAACTTAATTATAAGAGTAAAAAGCATAAACTTTTTAAACTTTTTTTTTGCCTCTTTTGAGTCAGGGTCTCACTATGCTGTTCAGACTGGCCTTGAGCTCACTTTGTAACCCAGGCTGGCCTCGAACTCACAATGGTCCTCCTGCCTCAGCCTCCTGACTGCTGGGATTACAGGTGTGTACCCCCACAACTTTTAATTTTTTTTAAATTTTTATTAGTAAATGTTTGCAGTACATAATTTATTGATGATTATATTCATCATGGGGAGCTGGTACATGTATATAACACATCTTTATATTTCCCTTTTCCCCATAAACTTTTAGAAAAATACACAAATCTTCATAAACTTGGATTTGCCAATGAAACTCAGGTATTACACCAAAAGCATGAGCAACTAAGAAAAAATAGACAAACTACACCACTGAAATTTAAGTTTTCTTCCATCAAAGGACATTATTTTAAAAATTGAGAATAATAATACATAGAGGGGCTGGTGAGATGGCTCAGTGGTCTAAAGCACCTACTTAAGAACAAGCTTAGCAAAGCATAGGGACCGCGGTTCGATCCCCCAGCACCACATGCCAGCCAGCCCCGCCCCCTGGTGGGCTGAGCTGGCTACACACACACACA